CCTGCCACTTAGATAATGCCTGTATTGCTGAGAAAACTGGTAAAACTTTAGCAAAAGTGAGTAACGACGTTGAATTAAAAATTTGTTCTGTTTTGACACTTTGGTTTCCGTTAAAATCTCCAATGTCACGTTTTAAAAAGAGTAACAAGCAGTGGATCTTCACATGGAATTGAAACTATGTTCGTTTAGAGATCTAAGTATTTTGTTTCAGTCAGAGAGAGGATTAATTGGAAAATCCCTAAAGTACTGAAGAAGACTTTTACATATTTAACTTATGTTAGTTTTTTACTGTTCAATATACAGAAAGTTAGTTTCAACATGCAAAGAACGTTGATGAATAAAATAGTAGAAACATACTTTGACCCCAAGCCGTTCCCACATGCTAAGAAGACATAGTTGAATGCAACTAGATTTTGTACCTCAAAGTAAATACTATTTCAAGGAGTAAATAAGTAGAACATTCATAAAATTATTGTCCTTTGATTGAAAGTGTGAGTCTCAACATGACTCATTAACAGTCCGCTAAAGCAAATTTCCATTTTATCATGTAAAGAATTTTCTCTGGTTGATTAAAATCTAGTTCAAATTAAGTTGTAATTTATTATAACTTTTAAAAGCTCATTTTAAAAATGATCAATTCAAACATGCTATTTATATTTACTCTCTGAAGTAACTTGTATGCTTTTTAGGTCATTGGCTAATCTTCAGGTTTCAGTGTTTCATATTACAGTTTAGGTTTAGTCTGATAACTTACTAATGTATAGGGCAAAAAGGAAAACTCAGAATATATTTAATATACAATGTTTATTCTTGAAAAGATCCAGTGGTACTTTAAACTGGTTTCCTTTTTCTGAACTCATTTTTGTTCAGATTAGACACATCAAAGAACCCATGGCTTTGCTACAAGAGGTCTATAGAAATTCTGTGAAAGATCTTTCACCAGTGGATATAATTACGTATATAGAAGTATTAGCTGAATCATCCTCATTACTGGGTTACACGAACAGCACTAATGCAGCCAAGGACATCCTTTCTAATTCAACTCTTACTGTAAGTATGCTGAGTTTTAACTCACTTATAATTAAGCTTTAAATTTTTCTTTACATCTGTGATTAAAGTAAGATTAAGAGATATACTTATTATTTTTTCAACAGGAGTTTGTAAAAACTGTGAATAATTTTGTTCAGAAGGATACATTTATAGTTTGGGACAAGTTATCTATGAATCATAGAAGAACTCAACTTACAAAACTGATCCATGCTGCTGAACAAGCTACCTTAAGGATCTCTCAGAACTTCCAAAAGAACACTCAGTTTGATACGAATTCAAGTGACGTAGGTAAGAAGTCAAGGTCAATGTCAAAGCAATAGTGTTTTCCAAATAAGCTCTTCTCAAAAGGGAAGGAAAGTATTTCAAATACTGTTAATTAAATTGGCTGGTTTTTTTTAATCAATGCAGAAATGAATGGTGATGCATTTCACAAGGGTGGTATAAATAAAAAGGATGAATTCATAAAATTTGCCTCTTTCCTGTACCCTCTACCTTTTCCTGTTTCTCAACTGTTTGGCATTTAAATGCTCAGAGATTACTCCCTTGTCATTTCATGACTTGGTAGGATCTGCCTGGACTAATGATAGTCCAGACAGATTTCCTAGATATAGGATATTAATTTTTAAGTTAAATTTTTATTGAAGCACACACATACAGAAAAGTGCACTATCAAAAAAGTATAACTTGATGAATTTTCACGAAGTGAACACGCTTGTACAAACAGGACCTCAGAAGCCCCCTCCTGCCTCCTGCCAGCCACGCCCTGCACCCTAAAGGTAATGCCATCCTGACTTTTAACACCGCAGCGTGAGCACCAGTTTTAGTGTCTCTGCAGTGGTCTGCAGAGAGACCACTATTTTATGTACTCATTTCCTACCTTTCTAATGTTGGACCTTGAAGATTTTTTTTCACTTTTACCTTTGAGATCCTTTGGGCATGTATCTTTGTCCTGGAGGTGGTATATCTAAATTTCTCCTTAGGACTCCTTTACCTTTAGATAATATAAAGAAATTAACATAGTCAATTAGAATGTTTCTTGCTATATGAAATCTCATACTTAAAACATTAAGAATCTAGACCAGACTGAGGAGGAAGTCTCTTGAGGAAACAAGGTACACTTTCAGAAATAATCATTGCACACACCTGTATTGTATTTTCTGGATGTCACCCTGCTATGCAGCAGTAAATTTACAAAGATCATTATCTCTTCGAGATTCACCACTTACTCAAAATTAAGGTAGAAAGCATTGTGACCAACACATAGGAGCCTAAATTTCGATGATGTTCCTAAATGAAAAAGGTGAAAATACACGAGGTAAGGAAATTATCACTCAAGAATTTAATTCAATCGTTCTGTATGTAATAAATTATATTGTACATAACATCCTCTCATTACATTGTAGCTGCTTGTCTGCTTTGATAATTATGATTTAAAGCTTCTTTGTATACATACATGTTTTCTTTTAATTCAATAAATATAGAATTAAACCATGAATGCTATAGTGAAATCAAAAAAAAAAACCTGAATAAGATTTTTAAATACAAATTATAATGTCCAGACATGTTCAGCATATGTGCATTCTACCTGCTGTAATTAAGAAGTTGAAATATAATGATAGGTGAAATTGTCTCTAACTCAATAAATACACTGATGAAACTAATTGCAGAGAATTTGATTTTCGTGGTTCTATTTCAGCTCTCAAAGCTTTCTATTTTGATTCCTATCACATGAAACATACTCATCCCCATATGAACGTGGACGGAGATTACATAAAGATATTTCCAAAGAGAAAAGCTGCATATGATTCAAATGGTAGGACTTTGACAATCTTATATATAATATTTTGACATTTTCCAGTAAATACTTAACATACATTTGATTGCATCATATGTACATAGAACATATGTGGTTTTCTATAGAAAAAAATATTTTATGTTTATATACAGAATTTCCATATTTGTACTTGAGATTTTCATTATGATTTAAATACCTGGGGAGAATTTTAGCTGATGATATTAAGATCCTCTTGTTTCACCTCCAGCTCTGTAACTGTCTAATATTGTTAAGATCCCAGTGGAAATACACAAAGGAACTGTATTTCATTCCTCACCTTGCAGCGGTACATAGATGCTGTAATTTTCATGGAGTTCTTTTAATATCTCCTCTCCAGTAATCCTTCATAGTCCTCACTGTGAGACTGAATTTGTGCTTGTATGAGGAAGATGAATAGTGATAGTGTTCAAAAAGATAGAAAGTTATTGTTTAGGCTTGGATTTCTCGTCCACTTGTGATTTTCTTAGTCTTTGTACAGTAAACTTAACTGATCTACTGGCAGGATTTCTTGAGAAATGGGATTCAGGAATGCTAGTACTCACAGGTAACTTTATGATTATCTAGCCTAATTTCCTCATTTTTTTGGTACTGAAACTAAGGAGCAAGAAGTCAACAAATGGTACAGGACTAAGACTTAAAGGGAAGGAATTAACAAAGAAATCAGCCCTGAACGGCTTTTCCTTGTCACCTAAACACAGGCAAAGGAGCAGCTGCTATTTTAATTTATCCTTTTATCTGCTCTCTTAGTTCAATGCACTTAGGAAAAAAAAACTCTGCCAATAATACAATTGTTGGTCCCATACAGGTCAAAATATATGACTTAAGGAAAATGTGAATTATAATATTTTCCTAAAGCATGAGTAAGTGGTCATACTAATGAATGAAAACTATATATAATAACACACATATGTCTCTTACAGACATCATTTTATAAAATAGATGTAGTCTTTATTGTTAAAAAGCATGTTGATGCTTATTCTCAGACCATCTTTTAAAAAACTTTTTACGGTGCTAATGTAGGAATTTTTTCTAATCCGTTGATATTATCCTCTCCATTCTTTCTTGCCATTTTTTATTCAAAAGTAAGAAACAGATGGCCATAAAAAGCAAAAATAACTAAGCCATACTGCCATTGAACCCATGGTTCTTACCCTATTACATCATATTCTAATTAACCAAGCGCACATATAATATTTAGGAGCAAATCCAAAGAATGTGTTAAACTGTTGTCTTTTCAAAGACAATCTTGAGTAGTGTTTAGAAGTTGAGAATAAAGACATTGAAAATACTTATCATAGTGACAGATGATGAAATTGTCATGAAATTAATATCTCAAAGAGATCCTGTCTGAGTGTATGGTAGTTTTGTTTCATTTCATAATCATGTATGCAAACTCTGACATTTGAAAGGGACAGTAATATCAGCTCTCAGGAAAGCAGAGGGAGAAAATTTGTTTTCCTCAAGGTTGAATCTTAAAGGGCAAAGCTAAGAAACTGATCAAAACCACTTAATGATGTCTACGTGTGATTATTCACTTATTGGCAAAACCTATTAATAAAAACATGCATTAGTTAAAAGCAGCATAGTGGCATTAGTAGGAAAATAAAGAAGGCACAGATGGGTTTTTAATCTTTTTATAGTCCCTGTCATTAGGGAATGAAACCCTAGTTTACTGAAAGTAGGTACAGATTTGATATGAGAGCTAAACGAAATTTCAGGCCTGAAATTAGTGAGAAATCATGGGAATTAAAAGAAGCTTCCCAAAAAAAAAAGATGAGAATGGACAAATATTTGAAACAGTATTCATAAAAATATAAAAGGGGATTTTGAACCTTTCTATGTGACATGAATCTCCTTTTACCAAATGTCAAAAATTGATGTTAAATAAAAATTTTCCTTTAGAAGGGGTAAGAGTGATGAACAGATTTTTAAAATCCATTTTATCTTTTTGGTGCTTCATTTGATTTTGGACAGTTCCCCACTATTACCCCTAAAAACTGGCCGTTGCATGAACTGGTTCATCGACTGGACTAGGTCAAGTTCACTCAAGAGGTTTCCAGGTTCTGCTTCAGGCCCTGGTCTGTTACAGCAAATGCTGGGCTGGTTGTCACCTCCGGGAATTAACAGAATTCACTAGCCCACCCATGTTATACTAACATTATTTCTTTCATGTAAGCTTTCTGGGTTGAAAGTTTAGGAAAATATTCAATGTGCCTGAATTTCAGCAAGGCTCTTAGCAGTGTCTTGTGGGGCTTTTTTAGATTAAGGTAGAGAACATGAATGGTGATGTACTTCTGCAACTTTCAGCTCACATAATCATATCCAAAGAATACTATATATTAGTGTGATATTGTGATGTGAAGGGTTGCAGCTTTGTATCACAGTCCTTTGCTTTTGATGATTATCAACATTTGTATTGATGATTTTGATTCATTTATGCTTTTCAAATTGCTGTAGTCGCAAATTTGAAGGAACAACTGAATAGGATAGAGTTCTTCCTAAGTTCTCCAAGCCTCTAAAGCAAACACATTTCTGTTAATAAGTATGATGATAATCATATTTAGAAAGCACCTTAAATTTTACAGAAGACTATGTACTATTTCATTTGGTCTCCACCTTATCCTAGTAAAGAACTAGGTTATGTTAAAGGTAAGAAAGCTCAAGTCTACACAGGGACACCCAAGTAGGAGCAATGACTGAAACCACAACTTTCAATTCCAAGAGTAAATTCCGAATATAAATTCCTCAGTTTACTGTCCATGATTCTCCATGGCAGACAGAGAAGGAATATGACCTAAGTGGCAACAGGAATTTTAAAAAATAATAGATTTCCATGTTGAGCTGTTCACACACTTGATATCAGTGATAATGAGATGCTACAAAAACCAAGGCAGTTTGAGGTCCATTAATACAGGCGTAGTGTCCAGGTGAAGGGGAAAACGGTCACTTGATAATCCAGACTGATGAGGGAGCATTTCCGCCTTGGAGTTATGTGCCAACATGCTGTGTTTGGGAAGTGTCAGGCGTGTGAACAAATGGCTGCCTTAAAAGGCTGTAAATTTCCTGAGTTCACGTAACTATATGTCATCGATTTAAACAGCAGACATTTCATTGGGCATGAGTTTAAACTCAGTGGCATCTCACAACTCTTTCGATTCTAAACTTAATGCTGTAAGTCTGTTTTATTTCCCCCCAATATCTTTCTAATTCATATATTTGCACAGCTAAGTAGTAAGTCAAAATCTTATTTTTCAAGTGAATACACTTTGCACCTTGGTTCTTAGTCAGTACTTGGATGTAAATTTATCTAGGACTACTTTCATCCTAAATACAGTTTGTGCCAAGAAGATGTAGTCCACGAGCAGTTTTAGAATCACAGGGATCAGAGCATAGGCTTACCGTGGTTTGACGGTTTAAGCATAAGGAGATTATGACCCACATTTCAGTGTCTGCATATTTGTATGACTCCCTTAGAGTAAAAATTTTGTCTGTTCAATTTTTATGTTTATTTTAAAAGCTTAAGTACATTTTTGTTTTATAAGAATTTCACCGAATACACTTATTTAATTGATAGGCAAAGTTGCGGTTGCATTTTTATATTATAAGAGCATTGGCCCTCTGTTTTCATCATCGGACAACTTCTTACTGGAACCTCAGAGTACTGAGAAAGCCGAAGAGGAAGGAAGAGTCATCTCTTCAGTAATTTCAGCCTCAATTAGCTCAAACCCACCCACATTGTATGAACTTGAAAAAATAACGTTTACATTAAGTCACATAAAGGTAAGTTGCATTTCTGGTGACTGTTGGTTAAGGCTATGAAACATTTAAAGAAATGAACATTTTTGTGTGACTTCACTTTAATGGTACGTGAGTTCTTGAGTTTAATTCAAAATTAAAATAAAAGAAGAGTAAAGTGGTTTAAACTAATTTTTCGATAAAATAATTTTGTACTTCCAGTGACCTTCAAACTTTCTAATAAGCCAAAGGACGTCACCTATTTGATTCCCTGAAATTAAGCTGTATTTTAGTTTTATTTTTAAGTATATTGCTCATTTTTGGAAGATGTTCATACCTTTAAGGAAGAAGTAATTAAAAAGTATCAAAGAGATAAATGTTACCTATGTAATGACGGAGACGTTTGGTTAATAATTGTCATTTAAAATAATATTTGCAGAGATTTGGGTGCTGCTTAAAATAAAATCATAGAGAAATTTACAATATTTCATAAAGAAATCATCTGAGACTATTTTACTCTTAATATTAGTTTAAATCTTTTTTTAAACCCATGTGTAATAAAACCATATGATTAAAAAACATGATTCAAAATAACCAAGTATTGGGGGTTTTTATAGACCTAAAAATGAGTGGGGAAAATTTAAATTATATTGTTTGCTGCATTTTTACAGCTGATGGTTTCTTGGGCTTTCAATCAAATTTCAGTCCTAGTACATGATGCAAAGTGCCTCAGAAGCTCCGTTTAGAGAACCCTGGAGCTGGGTAATTGTATGTGCATGTTTATGGGGCACAGAGGACTAAAAGATCATACAGTCAGCCCTCTGTAGCCACAGGTTCTGCATCCGTGAACGCAACCTGACACAGATCGAAAACATTGGAGGGAAAAAAAATGCCAAAAAGTTCCAAAAATCAAAACTTGAATTTGCTGCAGGCTCTTTACTTAGCATTAACATTGTATTAATTGTTATAAGCAGTTATAGAGATGGTGTAAAGTATACAGGAGGATGTGCGTAGGTTATATGCAAATACTACTGCATTTTACGTAAGGGACTTAAGCATCTGTGGATTTTGGAATGAGCAGGGATCCTAGATCCAACCCCGTGTGGATACCGAGGGACCACTCCATATGCTTACGCACAATCCGAATGTGTCGCTGTAAAGAAAGGCATCTGATGTAGAGAGAAACTAAATGCATAGAAAATGCACATAAATAGTAGTTCAGACCTAAGCATTGGTAGGCATTCTGCTGAGGGGGAAAGAAAGTGTGAACTGTTCTAAGAATGGACCCTAAAGTTAGATATTTTCAGATGCTAAATACAAATGTCCTTTTGACACTAGGTCTCATGGTTTTTCTACAGTTTTTATTAGCTGAACGTTTTGGCAGCTGAAGAGATGCCAAAGGCAGCCCACTTGGTCAATCTCTGACACAACAACAAAACAAAACACACACACACAGCCTTCTCCTTGGTTAATAGAAAGCTTGGTTGTCCTTAATCTTCTCTGTTCAAATCCTTTTCCCATTCAAAGTAACGACCACTCTGAAATTTCACCACTTTTCTCTAACACACCTACCTAATCCATGACTCCCCTTGCTCTAAGAATAAAATTTGATCCCATTTTCTTTCTCTAGGAAAATAGAAGCTGTCTCATTTATCACACCTTCAGTTTCCTGATCCCCTGACAATTTATTTGCAGTTTTACCAACTAGTATATACTGTTTCATTACCTCAGAATAATATTAATCATAGCTTTTATAATAATATTGATAATCATAATAATGATAGCAACCAGGACTTGAATAATGCTTATATGGGACCAGACTTTGTTCTAAATTATTTACTTTTAAAAAATTCATTTAATTCTCACAATAGCCCCATGATGTATGTACTGTTATCTCCATTTTACAGATAAGGATAGTGAGACTCTGAGGAATCAAATTACCCAAAACCCAGGAACTCCTCTAATTTTAAGAGTCTAAAAAAATAGGAATTATCTGTTGACTTCCATCTGCAGAAAATTTGGATTTAGTTTTCCTATACATTTCTTTCCCTGGGAGACACACCCTCCCGCTCCCCCAGCAATCTATTCTCCTGTATTTCATCAATTTTCAATGTGTAATTCACTCCTGAATCAGCAAGCTGAACCATTTTCCTGGTGTTAGTAAATTCCTCTAAATTTATTTATTTAGATTTCTGTTTATCCATTACTAATTTGTCCCCAAACTTTCTGACAGTAAGATAAATCTCCTCAGCAAACATTTAAATACATAAGATTATCAGATGATTTCTACAGACATCCTTTTTCAGCTTCTGTGAACTTGATCCTGTCTGGATGGTCTGCTCTTTGCCTGCTGTACGGCTATCAGCCTGGACATTCCTGCCACCGCATCCTGGACATGCAACTCGCCTCTCTCCAGTGTCAGCTTCAACGTTTCCTTGAGCTACTGTTTTCTTCTTTCGTGGCTTATCTCTGTGTTTTGGTGGCATATTCTCCACTGGCTCTTGAGAAAAGATGCCCAGAAAGTCAACTTTTCGAACTCTCGCATTATCTTGTGAGATAAGTATCTATATTTCTATCTTATCCTCACTAGATAAATTCCATGGGTATAGAGTTATAAATTGAGAATAATTATTTCTTCAGAATTTTCTAGAGCTTGCTCATTGTTTTCTAGTTTCCAAGGTTTACCTGGAGAAGTTGAACACAAGTTGGTATTTTCCTTAGAATCTGCATTCTTTTGCATGTGATCTGTCTCTTTCTGTCTAGAACTTTTGAGAGTATCTTGAGGGAATTTTATTCTCAAGATTCTAATCTAAGATGAACGTTGGTGTGGATCTTTCTTCATTAACTGTCCTAGGCATTATCTGAGTCTCTTCAGTCTGAAAATGTATGGCCTTCGGTTTCAGGGAATTTTTAAAATATTACTTGTGTGTTAATTTCTTCCTCTCTAGTGTCTCTAATCTCTTCTCCTGTTGCTCCTGCTATTTAAATATTAGACTTCTCAGCTGAAACTCTAAGGTTTTTTTCTTTTTAAATTTTCTTCTCCATTTTTAATTTCTTTTCTAACATTTTTTATTTCTACTTTATACTTAATTATAATTGAAAACTCTTATTTTTTGAACTCTGCCTTTGTTTTATGGGTGCAGTATCTCTCTGCGGTATCATTTGCATTTAAAAAAACAAAGAAGAAACTCTTTTCTGCTCCCTACATTGTGTTGCTCCTGATTTTTTTCTCTGTTTGGCTTGTTGGCTTTTGTTCTTTGTCTTCCATGTTAGAGTGTGTGCCCCGGAGGTCTGGTGGTTCCTGATAGGTATTCATATCTAATAAGGAGGAATTTGCAAGAAGTGCATATTCAAGTGGCTTGTGGCAATGGTGTGCTTCCTTAGAGAGTTACATCAGGCTGGTTTCTGACCGTTGCATTGGAAGATCCTAAAAAACAGCACCTAAAAGTCATTTTTCTGGGGCCTTTCAGTTTCCCAGAAACCTTTTAATCTCATGCCTGTAGACAGAGCTTGGATTAGGAGAATGAAGAGAATGTGGTAGGTGATGGTGAGAGCTCAGCGTGTAGACAGACACTCACATAACCCTCTGTTTTTTGAATGATACACTCTAAACTGATTCAAGTTCCCCATTTCTAGAGTCCCTCTGGCTCCTCTAGTTTATGTGGGTTTTTTGGTTTTGGTTTTGGTTTTGGTTTTGGTTTTGGTTTTTTTTAACACACGTGGGATTGGGCATTTTCTTGGCTGTTTAGGGGGAACTAGATGTAGAGTTTTCATTTTCTTCACATAGCTTGACCTATTTGAAAAATTTCTTGACATCTCTCCAATTTTAGCTTAACCACTGTCTTCCCAGACTCACTCCAGTCAAATTCTCCAGAGCTCCAACTGTTGATCCAAGTGTTGGGTTTTGTATACATGCCATTAAAGCAACTGCCTGATTTAAAACAATCTGGGTTTCTATTATCTTTAATAGATGATATCTATTTAATAGATAATATCTTTTTAATAGATAATATCTTTAATAGATAGATTTAAAGATGCTTTATCTTTTCAACTGAGGACCTCTGGCTCCAAGCACAGTGCCTGTCTCATATTTGATACTCAACTAATATTTTCTTTCATGAGTGGTTGTCTGAAGATTTGGGTTTGATTCTGTGTTACTCCACTCGCCAATGGTTATTCTTGAGTATAATTTTAGATATCTCGTGATCTCTTAACACTCAACACAATATGTACCTCATAGGGCTCTTTTCAGGGTGACATTAAATGAAATAGGCAAGAAAGGACCTAGTTAACTACAGATTGTTATAAAATTGTAAATAGTTTTTATTTCTACAAGAAACAAGTATAAGGTGCACCATACTTTATGAATAAATCATTATGAAAACTTACAGTGCATTAGGCATTGTTATGATTAGTTAGTACAAATATATGACAAGGAGGACTCTGCTGTTACTGAACACCCATCCTGTGGTCTACACGATCGGCCCCGTGATATCTGCTCTTATCCTCACTCCTCTTTACCTCACCCCTTGCTTGCACTACACTAGTTCTTCAGTGTTTCTGGAAGATCCTCATTGAATCTCACTTAAGAGCGTTTCCATTTTCCATTCCAGCTGTCTGGAACACTCCGTTCCCAACTCTCCGGGGCTCACTTTCTCACTTCATCGAAGTATTTACTTAAACGTCATCTCCTAGAAAAAGCCTCCTCAGATTACTTTTATTCTCCTTTTCCGAGTTTATCTTTTTTGTTTAATAATTTCTTGTCTCCTCAATAGAATGTAAGGTCAACAGTGCGAACAGTTTCTCTGTTTTGTTCAGTGTTATATTTTTAGCAACCGGATCAATGACTAATGTCTACTGTATACTCCATAAACAAACATTTATTGAAGATAATATGATATGTCATGCACCGTTCTAAATGACATGCATGATCTCAGCTGATAACAATTCTCACAACTCTGTGATGTAGGACTGATAAGCTATAGCACCATCGCAGTATAATCTTCAGTTCTTTCACACAACAGCAGCATTCATTTATTAGCAATGATTTTATGCTTCACTTTTTAGGCAGAGCTTTAATTATATTGATATGCAAAAATGGTATTTTAAATATAACAAAAATGATACCATATGGATAACTTCTTATCTTTCTTCCATCAGTAAAATGTCTCTTTTTCAGACCACAGAGAAGCATAGGAGTCAGTGTGCGTTTTGGAACTACTTGCCTGACACCATGAACGGCAGCTGGTCCTCAGAGGGCTGTGAGCTGACATATTCGAATGAGACCCACACCTCGTGCCGCTGTAATCACCTGACACATTTTGCAATTTTGATGTCTGCTAGTTCTTCCATTGTAAGGCAATTTTCCACTTCATATTTATAAATCTGTCTGTGTTTTGTATGTCATTCATAAGAATAATTAATTTTTATGTTTCCTTTGGGTATAAATAGTATATTTAAATAATTGATAAAACCCCAACAGTATCTTTTTTTAGTCTGTTTTTCTACCTAACTTCTATGACATATCTAGTCTGGATTTTTGGTTATTTTTAGTGTAAGACTTAGCTAGTCTATAATTTCTAGTAGATTGTGTGCTAAATATCTATCCACTGACTCTTAGATTTTAATGCTGCTTTTAATGACCACTTATACATTTTAATGTATCATGGACTTAAAGGGTTTTTGCCTTTGTATCAAAATTCATTAAGAATATTTGATACCTAGCCAATAACTATTAGCACATTTATAATTAATGTCATCTTTTAACAATACAAGATTTTTAAACATGAAAAATCTCTTTAAGGTAAATAGCTTCATAATATATATTTTACATCAGTAATATCTTGCTTTTACATTATATAACGTTTTTACTTCATATCTCTGCATCATAATCTTCATTAGATTACAGGTTTATTTCCATACAGGCTTAGACACCATCAAATATATAAAGTAGTCAAATAAATCTGCCTCACCACAATGTCAGTGATAAAGATGCTATTTTTTTTCTGAATGTTAAGTAAACAAAGATGCTTCTATAGTGTATATAAAACCATTTGTTTAAAATGAAACCAACCTTTCTCATTTCAAGTCTCTCATCTAGACTGTTTTGTTATTCTACGTATGCAGCATTTCTATATATGCAGCATTTCTGATGCCTTTGCTTAATGTGTTTAAATGAATTGCTGCATAGAAATGACTTGTTCTTACCCCTGATAGATTTGTTTTAATTAACCACGTTCACATTACAATAATGAATTTCCTTTCTAATATCAAAACTGTTGATGATAATGTTGTTAAATCATATAGTAATATATACTATGGCTAGAAAAGAATCACTAATTACAGAACTGTTAAAGTGCTGTATGATTGATATCAGATTTCTCTGAATATTGAGCATTTTCAAAAGCACAAAATTTTTCTCATCTGAATGCACATTTGTATTTTTACATTTTATGAACATTTTGATTAATGTTTCACCAAAAAAGGAAGTTCATTATATATTATAGTTCCTTTGACAAGCTACTAAGTTACTCTGTTAACAGCTGTATTATTATTTTCCCTTAGGGTATTAAAGATTATAATATTCTTACAAGGATCACTCAGCTGGGAATAATCATTTCACTGATTTGCCTCGCCATGTGCATTTTCACCTTCTGGTTCTTCAGTGAAATTCAAAGCACCAGGACAACAATCCACAAAAATCTCTGTTGTAGCCTGTTCCTTGCTGAACTTGTTTTTCTCATCGGGATCAATACAAACACTAATAAGGTATGTAGATCTCCCTTACTCTCTATTTTTATTCTCTGAATTTTACTGTCCTAAACATGTATGTCATAGAAACCTGAATTATTAACGGCTTATATGGGGCAAACACACAATATACTTTGTTCTTAAGCCTTTTCTCAGTTTGATAATGCTACCATATCTAAGCCACTTGCTTATCAATTCCCTGAGCCACGATGTCCTTCATAATGATGAACTATGAAAGCCTGGCAGAAAACTAAAGAAATAACCTGTTTTGTTTTGTTTTGTTTGAACATGGGCATTAAACAAAAACAGAGGGAAGAGAGAGAATTGGAAGTAAAATTTATCTTAACACAACAGCCAGAGTTCATTGATTGAAATTTGCACTTTTCTAACCACTAGTCACTGCACTTTTCTAACCATTTTCCACCAGTATTGATCTAGAGCCTTACTGAATAAATAGTTCCCATATCGTGCTGGTCTGGGTCTTCCTAGAAGCAGACGCTAAAGTGGGATAAAACACGCAATAGATTTATTAGGCAAAATGTCTGTGAGAGAAAATAGGAAGGAGAGACTTGGAGAGCCATCAGAGCAAGACGCAGAGCTGACCGTGAGTGAAGGGAAGGAAGGAGAAAGGACGAGTGCAGGAGACTGTGCGCAGCAGTGCAATCCTAGGCAAAGCGCAGCGTGGTTGGCCAGGAGCCCTTTGAGAAGACCCAGAGCCACAGGCAACAGAAACAGGCTCACAGACAGAGGAAACAAACTTATGGTTACCAGGGAAGGGGACTGGAGGTGGGAAGGGACAAATGGGGAGTTCAGGATTTATAGAGACTAACTACTATACAAAAAAATAGGTAAACAGCAGGGTCCCACTGTATAGCACAGGGAACTATATTCAATATCTTGCAATAACTTATAATGAAAAAGAATATGAAAAGGAATACACGTATGTGTGTGTATGACTGAAACACTATACTCCACACCAGAAACTGACACAGCATTATAAACTGACTACACTTCAATTAAAAAACAAAACAAAACAAACAGGAAACCAGGAGTGTCTTAGTGATCTCGCAGCGCTCAGGCAATGGCTGGCAGCAGCCCTGGGGAAACAGGAACACATCACTGGCTTTCCTCGCGCAGCAGCTGCAGCTCCCCCTGCAGGCGGAGATGGAGAACGCATCCTCGTGGCGGCAAAACATCCTGTCCTCTCCATTAAATTGCCTCTTACTAGAAATCCTTCAAGTATTGAAACTAACCATCAGCTATCAAGGTTTTCTTCTCAAGCAGATGCCATAAAGCACTTATTGTAAATGGTATACGCTAGACTGTAAACTTCCTATCTGGTTTTATTTTTATTTTTTTGGTTTGTTTTGCAGTGGTATTCATATCTTCTTTCAATTTTATGTACTTCCCACTACCCTCCATCAGTGCCTAATTCCGTCAGCCTTATTCCACCATCATCCTCACCGCAAAACTATTCCTTAGAGTGTTTATTTTCAATTCTGTTACCTATCAAATTCTTCCCATTTTGAAGCCATATTTCAAATCTCACTTCCTCACTAAAGTGGCCCCCAAATTTTAATCATTATTCCCAACCCTATATAATGTTCTCCAATGTATTTTAGTATGTAATCTCATTATGTTGGATTATACTATGTTTTGTTAAATGCAATAGGTATGTAAGTGTTATTATGTTACCTCACCAGTAATACATTGTGTTAGTTCTATGAATGCAGAAGTATGTAACTACTTGTTTTCTGTTGTTTCTCTTTTTTTAATTGTAGTGTAGGTAATTTACAATGTTGTGTTCATTTCTGGCATACAGCATAGTGATTCATTTTATATATATATATATTCATTGTGTATATATATATATATATATATATGAAATTCCTTTTTCATTATAGGCTATTATAAGGTATTTAATATAGTTCTCTGTGCTGTACAGTAGGACCTTGTTTATCTGTTTTACATATAGTAGTTAGTATCTGCAGATCCCAAGCTCCCAACTTATCTCTTCCTACCCCCTTTCCCTTCTGGTAACCAGAAGTTTGTTTTCTATGTCTGTGAGTCTGTCTCTGTTTTGTAAAAAAGTTTATTTGAGTCATTTTTTTTTAGAATCCACATATAAGTGACATCCTATGGTATTTTTCTTTCTCTTTCTAGCTTACTTCACTTAGTCTGATGATCTCCAGGTGCTAACTGCAGTTCTAGGTGTGAAGTCAATCCTAGTAAATAACATTTAACTTCAGTCCATCTCAAATTTATCTGATAATCATATCACTTAAAATGACTCTAAAGTGGATATTTTGGTAAAATATATCATCATTTGTCTGTTTTGTAAATTCAGTGTTTTCACTTAATCGAGCTATTTATTATTTTTTTAGGCATAATATTAACAATAAGTTTCATGCTTTTTGCATGAATAAAATAAAGAAGAGTAAAAGGATGTCCAAAACAGTAATCAATTCAAATTATAACAGGCGCTAAAATATCGTGGCTTACATGTGACTAATCCACACTTTATTACATAATATAAATGTATTAAAAGTATAAATCTGTGGACAAGAACAGAAACTAGTTCTATCACAGAACTAATGTGAACACAGATGAATGTTTCACATTGATGAAGCACAGTTGTTTTAAATCAGGTGCAAGTGGTACATCTTAAAAGACTGACACTTGCCAAGGATATTTTAATGGGATCAAGCATTATATAAAATGGCATAATTGGTGGAGAATGTCAATATTTTATGTTATGATGATGTTAAAGCAAATATTGCTTATGGTTTCTTTCTTTCTTTCGTTTCCAGCTCTTCTGTTCAGTCATTGCCGGGCTGCTGCACTACTTCTTTTTAGCTGCCTTTGCGTGGATGTGCATCGAAGGCATCCACCTCTATCTCATTGTTGTAGGAGTCATCTACAACAAAGGGTTTTTGCACAAGAATTTCTATATCTTTGGCTATCTCAGCCCAGCTGTGGTAGTTGGATTTTCAGCATCATTAGGATACAGATATTACGGCACCACCAAAGTGTAAGTTAAGACAATCTCATAAAAATTAGAAATGCAGTTTTGAATATGCTTTGTACATCATTGACAATTTTGCTTTGTTGAAGTACATAGTACATATTTACAGATTTTTACCTCTTATTTACCTTTCAGATGTTGGCTTAGCACAGAAAACAACTTTATTTGGAGTTTTATAGGACCAGCCTGTCTAATCATTCTTGTACGTATATTTAAAATTGCGGTGAGAATTCAAAAAAGTTATGATTTCAGGGTGCTTAAAATTCTCAGCCATCAGTCATTTACTTGGAGGGGAAAAATAATTTTCAGCATTTTACAGTATATCATTTATTAACATTTTATATATATTGCATCACTTTTGAGAAAAAACATACATATTTTGAATTCAAAACTATTACAATTCATTTGCCCCTCTTGGGAGGATGTATTTTTGCATTGCATGTAGGAAAAGCATCTTTCATGTCTCAATAGTATCTCATCATACTCCAGTCCTGAGAGTGTGCCAACCAGCTAATAATCTGGCATTTCAGATGTTTACGTTATTTAATCTTTTATCGATGATCAGGATCTTTGAAGATTAGACTGTCATCTTTCTAGTTTTATCATCCTTATGTACCCTGTCATCATGAAAGTGATTTTAAACTAAATTGCGACATCAGAGACAAGAACCCACAATTTCCCATGAGCAGACAACTCATATATTGATAGCCCTATTTCAGCTGGGAAGAGGGCCTTTTAATTCTTATTGGAAGTAGTTTCAAACCTACAAATTTGGCAGGTGTTACATGTTCTGTTCTAAATAAAGACATTTTTATATGTCTCCAGAGCATTTCTAAGTGCTGTAAGTTTTCAAAGCCATTCTGAATATAATAGTCTGTCAATGAATCTGGGAGGTCTGACAAGATTCTACAATAGAATGAATTGTCAGTGGAGGAGTTGTGACGATATTTTGGACAACTTTGCCCCATATGTTTTGATCGTAAGCTAGCTATCTTTTTGCTTTTTTTTCTCTCTCACTTTTCCCCCATGCATTTTTTATGGCTGTGAGGAAGATGCTAAATGGAGAAAGACTCGTAATGCAAAGGAGAGAATTTTTATCAAGGTTTATATTTTTAATGGTGTGGGTGAAATAAAGTGCATTTAGAGGCTATATTCCCTAATCATCGCAGAAAATTGTTTATAACTCTCACAAGGAATCTAGTAATAAAAAAAGGAAACTCTTGGCAAGGTTTTAGCTAAAACAATTTCAGAGTTAGTTTATTTATAATTCCAAAAATTTCAGCTCCCATGAGAATCCAGACTGAGTGGTGGCCCATTCATATATTTTCATGTGTTGCCCTGATATGAGTATTCAGTGTGACGGCACTGCCTTCACATTCTGACTTTACTGGTTCCCTCTCTACAGAGTGGGCCATCTCTGATACTGTTTTGTACAAGTGAAAGATTAGTGGATCAATGGTTCTTACAGTTTAGATAAAAGTTGTAGGCTAGGAATATCCCAAAAACAGGAAAAACAGGAGCATTTCTCTAAAGTAACAAATGGAAACTGTTCCCTGAAAACACTTTTTTTTACTGTTGCTTCTATATGGGGAAAGATAATTTTGAATTATCTTATAATATAATAATCTCAATAGATTTCAGACGGGCTTGTCTAAAAAATGAGTCCCATGACCTTTCCTAGAAATAAACAATGTCCTAGTCTGGAATTAACGAACCAATATATTTTTCATACCATTTCAGTATGATAATCATTCCACTTAGCTAGAGGGTCAGGCTACTTAAGAAATGGATAAGGCTCCTTGATTTGACTCTAAAGCTGAATGCTGTTTATCTTTTTCTGTATTTTTAAAAACCGCAGAAATTCTTTGAATAACTATTGAATGGAAGTGAATTCCTTTGCTGTGGTTATCCCTGGTGTTCTGTGCCACTGCTGGCTGTTATTATTATTATTACTACTACTGTTATTATTCAGCTGTATGACACAACTTTAAGTAAAACTTCTCCTGTTGTCCCAGAATAGTATCGAGTTCAAAGGTAGAATAAAAGAAATATTGAGCACCAGACATTTGAAAAAGAGCCGCCAACAGTTTGCGCCTGACACTTCCCGTGGGTCTTACAAAGAGACAGTAGGACCAGCGGTAACTCAGTAAGAGGACTAGGGGTGGGGGCGCTGAGAGGTTAGTGGCTCAGAGCGAGGAGTCTGTGGCCTTTGAGGGAGCGCATTGTTCTCTATGAAAAGCTTTTCTTTAACCTACCAGTGAGAAAGAAACGTCAGTGCGCCCCCATTTCCCTGAAGACGAGCTGTGGAGGAGTACTCCAAAGGGTTTGTACAGAATGGAATCAGAAACAGTAAGAGTGAAAAACTCTCATTCTGATCCCAGACTGAATGCCAGTGTGGCTGTGGGATTGTCATGTCTCCTTGATGTACAAGAGCAGAGTGGGAGCAGATTTTTGTGACAGCTTGACATGATCCCTGACTTTGGGTCAAATATGAACATAGAGACTAGACTTTCTTTTGGTTAGAGTTTCCTGCAGGCTGCATTTTCTGACAGCATGCAGGTAAAAGAATTACTATGGAATGTGCCTAGGAATAAAATAATGGGGGGGGGGCAAGGGGATACACAAAGGCTTCAGCTATCCTGTAAGCACAGAAAAGTGAGAGAAGGGGAAAAAAGTTGTGGGGCTGCCCGGAAAGTTGTCAGGTCAAATGAAGTTATACACAACAAGAGAATGGGTCGAACAGAGGTGATGCTGAATGGTGGCATGGCTAGCCTTCTCTGAAAAATAGAAGGGGCCACGATGGAAGTGAAATACTATAAACACTAAGAAAATCACATATACCACCAAAGTGGAGGCCGTCACATAAGCCAAGATTACCAGCAGTAAGAACCAGACTAAACCAAAGTGATGTCCTGAGCTCTGTCCATCCACGAGGTGATCAGACCCTTGTAGGCCCCAGCAGCAGAGAAGCTGAGCTTTGTCAATGGAGGAACATATCCTACAACCACCCCTACAGTCAACTACATAGACTCA